AGAAGTGCACTGACCTATGGGTATAGCAGCATGTCATTAGGAGTAATTGTATTGTTATGATCATTTAGTAGGCAAATAGTAGGTTTTTCCGTAGAACCCATGACCTATCTAGTCTTGTGTTCTTGGCCTCATTAACACTATCAGGTATAAGCCGGGCGGTGGTGGAGCACGCCTTTAATCCTAGCACTCGGGAGGCAGAGCCAGGTGGATCTCTGTGAGTTCGAGGCCAGCCTGGTCTACAGAGTGAGATCCAGGAAAGGCACAAAGCTACATAGAGAAACCCTGTCTTGAAAAACCAAAAAACAACAACAAAAAAAAACAACAACAACAAAACAAACAAACAAAAAAAACACTATCAGGTATGGGTTCCATATCTTGTAATGAGCCTTAAATTCAATCAAAAAGTAATTGGCTACTACCCTAACATTGTGACACTCTAGTAGCAATGGGTATATCATTCGGTCAGGTCAATATTATAGCTCACAGGTTTCATAGCTGGATGAGTTTGATTACTTTCCACTTCAGTGGCTTATATAGCATATCCTATCACTATACACCACCTAGTGTGGATGAAGCATCCAGTTGGGAATCAGCTCAATTTCTCCATATTCTATGCTATAAGTATGTGATCAACAATAGGGCCTTACTTTCAGGTGTAGATGATAACCAATGGCATTGGCGATAGTCCTGGATGTTTGGGGAGGGAATATGGGTCCCCTTTGGCCAACAACTCAACAAGATGTAATTCATTCCTGGAGGTTTTGCTTGATGGCATAAAGATGTCTAGTTGGAGCATTATCTCCCTCATTATGTGGTGATTCTATTTAAATTCCTCATACATATATATTATGTGTGTGTGTGTGTGTGTGTGTGTGTGTGTGTGTGTAATACACACACATATACATATCGTGTATGTACATATAGATGTATAATTTTTAGGAACATTCTATAGTCGTAGGATTCCATATGACATTTCAAAAGGCCTTTAGGGTTAGTTATTCCTCCCCATATTCAATACGTTAGCCTGCCCCACCCCCACCCTCCCCATTCAGTCTACCTGTTCTAGTTCCCCTTGTGTCTCTTTGTAACACTATATTCTATAGCCCTTTCCTTGGAAGATCCCCTCTTCCTACTTTGACCCTTTACTAACTGCCTAATGTCTATGGTTACTCTAAGTGAAATACACATATCTAAAGCAAAGCAAACATCCACATATTAGAGGAAATATGTAAAAATTTGTTTTCTGGCTTTGAGTTATTTCATTCAGGATAATTGTTCCTAGTGCCATTCATTTGTTGTAAATTTCATTATTTAATTTTTATTAACAGCTGAATGATACTCTATGGTGAAAATGTACCACATGCTAATTGTCCATTCATCACTTCATGGATATCTTGGATGTTTCCAATTTCTGGCTATTATGAATAGAGCAACAATAAACACAGATGAGCAAGTGTCTCTGCAGTAGTATGAGAGTCGTTGGGTATATGCCCCAAAGTGATATAACTGAGTCTTATTGTAGAACTATTGTCAGCTATTTAAGGAACCTCCACACTGATTTCCGTAGTGTCTATACCAGTTTGCTTTCCCACTAGCAGCAATAAGTGTTCCCCTTTCCCAGAATCCTTGCCAGCATGTGTTGTCATTTGTTTTATTGATCTTGGCCATTCTGATTGAGGTAAAACCAAACATTTTTGCCTTGCCAGTGAGATAAACACACAAAAAAATCACTATAGCTTTAATTTGTATTTCCCTGTTTATAACACAGGTGTGTTTCCCAGTGTGTTAATGTCCTAGTTATCTGACCCACTTGGAAAAATGCATATCCCCATCATTTATTTTGGATTATTTCTGTTCCTGTTATACTTTACAGATGCTCTTAATGTAGCTAAGTATTGTAGAATATTATTTTAACCAGGCAAAGATGTGTTACATTTGATATGCTGTACAATATTACTTTGTGTAAAGGTGTGTTACTTTTGTTTATGTTGCATTTGTTTAATTATGAAAAGATGTGTTGCATTTGTTTTGGCTTGCCTGCCTAAGACACCTGATTGGTTTAATAAAGAGCTGAATGGCCAATAGCTAGCCAGGAAAAGGCTAGGCAGGGCTGGCAGGCAGAAAGAATAAATAGGATGGGAACTCTAGGCTTGGGAGAAAGAAGAACAAGAGAAGGAGGAGAGAATGAGGGACATGCCAGGGCAAAAAGCCAGGCAGACAGACATAGAGAAGCATTGAAAATAAGAAATACAGAAGTAAGAAAGGAAATAAGCCCTGAAGCAAAAGGTAGATAAACAGGTTAACTTAAGTTAAAAGAGCTAGCCAAAAACTGGCCTAAGCTAGGCCAAGAATTCAAAATTAATGAGAAGTCTCTGTGTCATGACTTGGGAGCTGGTTGGAGGTCCAAAAGAAAAAGCCTGGTACAGCTATATGCCGATCTTTGTTAGATCTATATTTTATAAATATCTCATCTAATCCATGGCTTAACGTTCACATGACTTCTGATATTTCAATGAAGAAGATAGTTTAGTTTTAACAAAATCGCATGTATTTGCCATGATAATACCCTGATTTATGCCTTGTTTAACAATAATATAACTATTCTTTTCTGTCTCCTTATGTTTATCTGATAGTCCATATTTCTCTTAGGACTTTAATCCAATTGAAATAGGTTTTTATGTAGTCTTAAAGATATGGATTAAATTTTATTATTGTGTGGATAAATAATTTCTCTAATATATCTAATGCCAGCATTAATTACCACCTTAAAAGCATATAGATTTTGGTTAAAGTTTTAAACTTTACCTTCATTATTCTAATTGCCCTTACCTACACCAAATTCAGCCACTCCTTTTTAAGAGAGAGAGAGAGAAAGAGAGAAAGAGAGAGAGAGAGAGAGAGAGAGAGAGGAGGGGAACACTGCTATCCTGACCTATTGCTCTCTCCTTTACTGTCCTGAGAGAGGATCTCTCCCTGACCTAAAGCTTGGCTGACAGCAGCAAGTACCAGTTATTCTCCTGCCTCTGCCCTTCGCGGCTCTAGGGTTACAGGCAGGTACAACATGCCTAGTTTCTTACAGGTTTTTTTGAACTGCCTCAGTGTGCAATGGCATATTTGTTTCTGAAACGGTGGGTTGCCCCTGGCTCTCCTTTCAGCATGTTTATTTATAGCCCAGGAAGCAGACATTCCTTCATAGATCCTAATTTCTTCTCTTAATGGCAAATAGTATTTAATGATGGCATTTGGTATTAGGCATAGCATCTTGTTCTGAAGATTTTTTTTCATTGTACTAAGTTCAAGAATAGGTTAACATTTCAAAATAAAGATATTGTCTTAGGTTCATACTGATGTTTTCAATTAAAATTCAAATAGAGAAGGAGTTTTAATTTAATTTTATAAAGCTTATAATCGATTCTGCTTCTTCTTCATTGAGACTCCCAGGTTCCCAAACACAATGATAATTATTCTCTCACCTCACTCCACACTGTATAGAACATTTCAATGCCAGAAAAGGGGGTGTCTCTTTTGTCAAAAAGGCCAGCGTGAAAGATTATTTGTTCACAAGAGAGGGATGATGCATATTCTGTTAAGAGCAAACAGCCTTCAGAAAGGGCTATGGTTTAATGGGGTGGAGGCCACTTGAGAAAGAGAGACAACTGAATTACCAGAAGGCAAGTGGTATGTTTCAAAGTCAGGATATAGTAGGGAGACAGTGAGCTTCACACTGGGGCTGCAGACAGATGTCAACATCCCGACCAGAAACAACATTCCTTTCGGTTAGTGAAACAATGTCTTTCATTATTTTAATAAAGTATTATTTTTCTACTTTGTTATTAAAAGCAGAACATAGATCTAAGACAAGAAGAGATAGCACTAGGGAGATAGCTCATCAGCTAAGAGGAATTGCTATGAAAGGAAGAGAGCCTGGGTTCAAATTCCCAGCACCCACATAAAGGATGGGGATGGCTGTATGACTTAGCAAATCCAAACACTGGGCATACAAGTGGGCAGATCCTTGGAGTTTGCCAGCTGGTCAACCCTGTCAAAACTGTGAGCTTCAGGCTCAGTAAGAGACCCCATCTCAAAAGGTAAGGTGAGATAATGTTAATATAATACATATGTAAAATGGAAGAGCTGTAAATGAAAAAAATGAAATTTTCAGGAAGATGGACTTGGAGTATATAATATTAATCAAGGTCACATAAAACTCAAAAAAATACTCATGTTCTCACTCATGTGGAAGCTGAACTGTAATGTGTCCATGTATGTATGTAAACAGCTGTAAGTGTGGATATAGTATAATATTTAGAAAAAATTATCTAGGAAAAGTAATATTTGGTGTCAAGGAAGGACAAAATATAGACAAAAGGACACACAGTTGTGGAAGAGGACATAAAGCTAATTGTTTTCCTAGCTTCAATTTTGCATAGATTTTTCCCTTTATTGTGGTAGATAAGTGAATCAAAATGTAATTTAAAATGAAAATATAAAACACTAAGCAAAGCTCCATTGCTTCATAAAGGCTATTTTAAATAGATAGAAGTCCATCCAGATGTACAGAGTTTAGGCATGGGCAAGTGTTTGAGTGGCTTTCTTAATCTACCAGAGTGATGTTTTTATTTCTGAGTTCATTGAAATTATCTGATTTAAAAAAAAAAGCAGTCAGATCTTGGCTGTGTAAGTGGATCAGTACGACAAAAGCAATTTTTAAAAAGTATAGTAGGAAATGATGGAGAAAAACACTTGACATGCCCCTCTACTGCACTTGCAGGCAGGTACACACATACACATGTGCATACAACACACAGACTCACAGGTATAACCACACACACCACACACACACACACACACTAAAATACTGTCAGAACTGCTCCCTCTCATTCAGGTTTATACCAATTTAATGAAAATAGCAACTAAAATGTAGCTCAATTATCTTCTGATGTTTGAAGGAGTATGGGAGTACTAATGAGCCGCTGTCTTAATTTTCTCTCTGCCCACAGAGGACAAGGTGTGGACCATAGTGTCTCACGACTTACAGATGCAGACGACAGTGGTAGGCTACAACCCAGAAAAGTATTCGGTGACACAGCTCATCTACAGTGCCTCCATGGACCAGATCAGTGCCATCACCAGCAGCGCCGAATACTGTGAGCAGTACGTCTCCTACTTCTGCAGGATGTCCAGGTTGTTGAACACTCCAGGTAGGCTGCGATGGAACATCGCTTTTAATTACTCTCTCAGCTGGTATTTGCAATTGCCTGAACAATCCAACAGGTGTGGCTTATTATCTTCTCGTCCACTCATCGCTCTTTAGTGTGCAGACGGCTGTAAATAAGTCCATTGTAATCATTGGGATTGTTTTCTGGACAGCGAAGCTCAGAATGCATGGCTTTTAAAGCAATTCCATTATTTTAAGTTCATGGATTTTTTTTTTTGGTTGTATGCACATATACAAGGTGTGCTGTTAATACTTGTTCATCAAGCAGTTGCCTTGGGCAAAAGTTTGTCAGAGCTCCTTGTGAGCTTTCAAGTGTTGCTCTTTGAGGTCCTCTGGTATCTTTAACGTAAAGATGAAAGCCTTCTGAAGGCTGTCTGCCAGGAAATCTGGTATAAAGCAGCAAGAGATTTTAGGGCTCTTTGCTGTCCTTTAACAGTATCTGTCTTAAGAAACCCTCCCTGAAGTTCCTATCATGATGGTCTATTTTACTAATATATAGTGTATATGTGTGCACAAGACTGTTTTGGGGTTTAGAGAACAAAGAAGCCCCCAAAGTTATACTCAAAATGCATTCTCCGCAAGAACGCCTCATGTGTTGGGGGTGAGGCATGACACTAAATTTAAGATGTGGGCAAAGATATGCATTCTTTGGTCCACAACACAGCACCAAAAGTGAGCATGAGCCTTGAGTGAAGGGAATAGTGCCTTCAGATTTGCAGCTGTGGGGTTTTCCAGATGCATCTTTGGGATGTTCATTGAAGTTGAACTTCTGTGTATTTGCCTATGTTATGCAGTAAGTAAAGCTGTTATCTATTTATCATGAGCAATGTATTTTGAAATATGATTGCAGAATGGCTAAATCAAGCTAATTTGTATATGTGTACCTTACCTTTTTGTGGCAAAAACAATTTTCAAGAATGTAATATAACTATTACAGACTATAGTGACAATGTTCTACTATGGATCCCTTGTTATCTGGCCTCACTTTCCCATGGTTTTTTTTTTTTCTGTTCAATTGGGAAAAGAATGTCTGTTTTGGTGAGGTACGATATTAGGCATCTATGAGGTCTAGGGCATGTAAAGACATGAATGGTATATTTTTAATTAATAAACATTATTATATCATTGCATTGGGTCAAAGAGTAGTGGGCTATGCGATGCCCTAAATCAGCACTGGATTAGATCAGCATTCTTTGGTAACTGCTTGTGGAGAAGAGTTAGAGGCAAAATATAGATGCTTTTGTGATTGTGTGTTTCTCCTGTGCAAAGCCTTGTGCTATTAGTGTGTTTATAGTGTACACCATAGACTCTAGAAGAGTAAAATCTGAAAATATAAAAATGATAGGTTTAGAAAATTAGGCCTTGTATTGTTTGGCAGAAAGATGTTTATGGTTGGCATGTTGAAGCAGTGTGTCACTGAAAAAGCAAAGAGAAGTCCCCAGGTTGATGCTTGGGAATGAACGGCAGTAGATGTGATGTGAATGGCTCTTCTGGTGCTGTTCAGAAGCCCTGGCCTGGGCAGTGAGTATGGACGTGGGTGGGTGCAAGTAAACGCTATGCTGTGGACTGAGTCCCCACCTGTCCTTGTGAGTCTACGTGTTTCTGAGCCTGCGTGGGCTTGAGAACAACACACAGAACTTAGGAAACCAGAGTGGTCAGGTTCCACTCCCTTTGTCTTTGATACAATGGATCTAAAATGAGGTTGAAAGTACACATTTGTTTTGAGTGCCATGAAATGAACTGTGTTTCTAATGATACGTATGTGGAAGCCCTGGTTCCCAAAATGGCTGTATTTGGAGATATGGCTTTTAGTTGATAATAATATCAAGTGTAGTCAGAATAGAGATGTCCTAATCCCAACTGGATTGGCAGCTTTACAGAAGATTAAAGTTCTCTCTCTCTCTGTCTCTCTCTCTGTCTCTCTCTGTCTCTCTGTCTCTCTCTGTGTCTCTCTCTCTCTCTCTCAACCTCCCTCTCCCTCACACTCTCTCTCCCTATCTGTCTCTCTCTCTTCTTTATCTCCCAGCCCCTCTCTGCAATGTATGGACATGATAAGGAGGCCCCTGGCATGCCAAACTAAATCTACCAGCTCCTTGAACTTAGGCTTCTTTCCTCCTGAACAACAAGGGAACACATTCTCACTGCCCAGCTTCCTGCATGCCTCTGGCATTTTGCTTAGTGGTTCTAGCAGATACATGATGAGTTCTCAGATGATGTCACATCTGAATGGGCTGTAGACCAACTCTGAGAATTTGAGAGTTCTACACAGCCCAACAGGTGTTTCTGTTGTCCTTGACTGCTCTCAGAAATTTTTTCCTGGACCCTGCTTACACTGCTAGCAATGACTGTGGAAAAACCAAGGGCAGAAAGAGTCATTAATGAATCTCATCTGCTTGTTTTTCTCTGTTTCATGAGTGAGTGCTCTTCACAGAGGCTCTGTTCACAGATTTCAGTTAATTATTCTCCAGTCCTGGAATGGGACAAATTGCTCATCAGAAAGAAATCTTGGTACTTTCATTGGTATAGTCAAATTTTCATTATCAAATTCTTCTAGTAGTTAAAATATAATAATATTTTTTAAAAATGCAGGAGAGCTGTCAAATAAGTATACTAATAACTTACAGTTTAGGTACCAGGAGAACTGATTTAAGGCTTATTAAGGCAACTAACCTTTATTTCTTTTGGTTTAATACGTAGCCTTCCCTCTTTCCTTCACTAATAATATTTTTCTATCAGCCACACAAGGAATCTGACATCCCTCTTGCTCTCTTTTATATAGTGTATGATATACAAAGCTTGAGAAAAATAAGAGAAATATGACAATTTTAACTGTCAACTTGAAAATCTAGAATCACTTAAGAGGGGGAGTATAAATGAGAGGTTATATAGACAGGGTTGGTCTGTGAGAGTTTATAGTGATTGGTTATTTATTTGAGGAAAGAGCTCCCCACTGTGGGTGGCAGCATTCCCTAGGCAGGAAATCTTGAACTGTATAAGAGTAGATAAAGCTAACTACTCTGTACACGGGTTAATTCATTGCTCCTAACTCTTGATGGTGGATGGATGTGACTAGTTGCTCCAAGCTCCTGTCTTCACTTCCCTGAAATGATGGACTGTAACCTTGACTGTGAGCCAAATAAACCCTTTCTCCCTTATGTTGCTTTTTGTGAAGATATTTCATCACAGCCATGGGCAAAACTATAACAATAAATTTGTTTTGTAGTAAGTTACATTTTCTAAAATAAAGTAGATACTTTTCCCTTTGACCTCCAGATGACCTTTTCAGGAAAGAACTACTACAAGAGTGAATTTCTAACTTTCACAATAAATACAATATTTTACTTACGTTTTCAGAGAATCCAACATTCTATTTTAAGACATTTATAGGTTGTCGTTATACCTAAAATGTTCTTTGAGAATTATCATCATGTGCACTGGGCATTTTAGAAACACCTTATTATTCTTTCCTTTTTTCCTCTATTATTAAAAACATATTTTTCTCATTCCTGATAAGAGTTTCATCTCCCTTTATTCCTCCCAGTTCCTCACTACCTCTCCACCCATCAGGATCCACTCCCTTTCTGTCTCTCACTAGAAAGAACAGACTTTAAGAGATAACACAAATATAACAAGATAAAATACAATGAGATAAAACAAAAACAGTCCCATCAAAGCCGGACAAGACAGCCCAACAGAAGGAAAAGAGCCCAAGAGCAGGTACAAGGATCCGACACCCAGTCATTCACACACTCGGGAGTCCCATGAAAATACTAAACTGAAAGCTATAATATACATGACCAGGACCCAGTACAGACCCAGTGCAGACCCGTGCAGGCCCTGTGCTTGCTGTTTCACTCTCCATGAGTACATATAAGCTTTGTTCACTTGACTCCAGGGCCTTAGTCTCCTGGTGTCCTCCATCCCCTCTGACTCTTACATTGTTTCTGCCTCCTCTTCTGCCCAAATACCCTATCATTTTTTTCATTCACACAGGATCTGTTCTTGATACATACTTGCTAATTTGAAGGAAAGTGCATAGCTTCAAATATTCCTTTATGAACGCATAAACATTTCTTCTTAAACAGGAACAAGCATGCACATTTTTGGGTTGTTTATCGTAGTTCTGATTCCAAGGCCCTTCACACAGGTTTTGATGGGATTTGGTTGGGATTAGGGAATGACTGCTTTCAGCAAACATTCACAGGTGGTTTTGTGAGCCATTATTGGGAAACACTGTTGATGGCATGTGTGCTTCTCCTGTTTAAATCTAAGTAGTCAGTCCTTTATGTTGGAGAGGACTAAAAGAAATAAGGATTCTCTGGACAGGTAAAATTAAAATGGCATACGTAATTGACTGCTTTTTTCAGCTAAATCGCACTAATACAGTGTTGTTTTTAATCCAACTGATGGAACAATCTCTAGACATTGCAAAGTGGGTTTCTGCCCACTCTCCAGTGTCCTTTCCCCCACTCCCCTTTTCTCCTTCCCGGGTGAGCTACTGCGCAGCACAGGGGCAGAAGCGCAGTAGCACGTCAAAGCTCCCTGTGGACCGGAGGCTGCAGCAGTCCAACTAAGAAAGAAGAGAATTTAATAAAAAACTTTAATTAGTTGTTTTAAGGGACTAACGCTTGCTATAATTGTTTCTTTCCTCTTTCGTGGTAACGTCTGATTTTAAATATCCACTTAGTCATTCTGTAACTAAGACTGAATTATACTGGAACTTCTTCAGAAGCACTCGTTGGCATCTGTTTGAATGCAAAGTATATTCATTATAGTCGTTGCAATTAAAATGAATATCAAATGAAGCTGTAATAGCTATGCGCTTAAATGTTATTCTTTATTTTAAGAGCCTTATTCTCCAGACGTCATTTGAGGCTCTGTAGCTTCTAAGACACTTAGGACTAAGAATTGATAGGCGTGTAGAGCATGTGCATTTCTATTGATTACTATTTGTTTGTGCCATACTGTTAGGGAGCAAATGTA